GAAGCTCTTGATATTTGGACGGAAGCGCTAAGCCACAGCTTACCAGTGGATGTTGTGTTTCTGGACTATGCCAAAGCGTTCGACACTGTGCCCCATGAACGGCTTCTAGCCCAGGTCCAGGCTCTAGGGGTGAATGCAAAGACTCATCAGTGGATAAGGAGTTTTCTAACAGGCAGGCGGCAAAGAGTGAACGTCAATGGATCACTCTCAGACTGGGAGTTTGTAACAAGTGGAGTGCCGCAAGGCTCAGTGCTCGGGCCTCTCTTGTTTTCCATGTTTGTCTGTGATGTTCCCGACCTCTTAAATTGTCATATCTCTATGTTTGCGGACGATACCAAGGTCTACCAAGTCATCAACGAGCGTGATGGTGAACTTCACAATCTGCAAGAGGACATCAACTCTTTGCAAGATTGGGCAAAAACAATGCAGATGATCTTTCATCCACTCAAGTGCAAGGTCATGCATCTCGGACCAACAAATCCTGGAAGTGAGTATACCATGACAACTATGGGTGGAGGCAAACATACCCTTGAAGCAGTCTGTGAGGAAAAGGACCTGGGAGTCACTATAGACATGAAGCTATCCTTCTCAAAACATGTCACTAACCAGATTAACAAGGCCAATAGAATTCTTGGTGCAATCAAGCATACCTTTGCAAACATTGACAGCGACATTTTCAAAGCCTTGTACAAAAGCATTGTCAGGCCCCACCTCGAGTATGCAACTGTTATATGGAGTCCCAAGTTCAAAAAGGACAAAGATGCACTCGAACAGGTGCAGCGGCGGGCAACAAGGCTGGTGAACGGACTGTCTCACCTTTCATATTCAGATCGCCTCAGGTCGAGCCTTAATTTACCTACTCTGGAATTCCGACGGAAACGGTCGGACATCATCGAGACCTTCAAAATTTTGAAAGGCTTCGAAAAGGTGGACTTCCAAAGAGAGTGCCCGTGTTGTCACAACAGCATGTTCAAGAACTCTCTCAGCCGTGTCACCCGAGGTCACGATCAAAAACTTCAAGTTCAGCATCAATTGGGACCCAGAAAAGCCTTCTTTGCGGCACGAGTAACTCAGACATGGAACAAGCTGTCAACCCACACCATCGATGCTCCAAATGTCGATGTGTTCAAGTACAGACTGGGGAAGGAATGGAAGGATCACCCTGAAAAGTTCAACTACAAGTTCTCATACTAATGATCATCGTGGCCATCAATGTATGGCCTCACCTAGCATGGCAGCCTACTCGTCTTCATCAGAAGAAGAGGAGGCATCTCTTGAGTAAAGGGTCTGATTACTCGAAAGGGTACCTAATGACCTTTACTTAAGGTAAATACTTAAGGTAAATAAGGAAATCGCTATAAATGACTACCGATAAAAAGTTCATTGATGGCTTAAAACGGTCTAGGCGAGAGAGTTCGGCAGTCGGCACGGTACATTTTAATGCACCGACGGCATCATTTCCCTGATTTCATAACTTCCGGCGAAACACCTTTCACGACTTCAGTTACTGAAAAAAAATGTACCGATCCCACAGTGACTCCCTGGCTCAGAGTCCCGACAATGAAAGTGAGAATGGTGGGTGGGTCAACCACCTTGCCCCAGTCCCTGGGTTGGTTCCAGTCCCGCTCCCCGGACCACCGGACGCCCACCTCATCCTCGTCATCGAGCACGCTGGCGCCGTCGGCCGGTGACGAGTCGCGCAGCTTGGACAGCATCAGAGACGACGCCTGGCGCTTGGCGCACTTCTTCGACTTGCCCACGCCTGACAGACCAATGACAGACGGTCAGCGATACAGCTTGATAACGGGGGGACACAGGGGTAACGTAATAGACTGATAAAATCTCAGACCAACACAAGACATCCCGGCCGAATACACCAGCCGAAAAGGCTTCATAAAACAGATTACGCCGTTTTCGCAAACTAAAATGGATTTAAAACGGAAGAAATAGCTGTATAATAGAATATTCCAGAAAATCGACTGCTACTGCAAAGTCCAAAGCGACGACAATACTCCGTCCGTATTTCCTGACCCACCCGTCCCTGCACAGTAGGTACGTCCCGGCCTTTCCGTACCGATCTCCCTGGCCTTGGTGCCGATGCAGCAGGCGATGGTGAACGTCCTCTCGTGCGGCTGGCCCTCCTCGTGCACCAGCTCGTAGGTGGGCGGCGGCCAGCGGCGCGACATGCACAGCTCCTGCAGCCGGCCCACCGGGTTACCGGCCGCGTCGTCCTCGCAGGGCAGCAGCGGCAGCTCGGCCAGCGCCGCCGGCCGCGCCGACGGCACCAGCGGCGTGGCCGCCTGCTGACCCAGCAGCTGGTCCAGCACGGCACGCGCCGCCATGTGCTTGGCCTTCTTCTTGCTCTGGCCCTGGCCGCTGGCCACGAACTCTCCGACCGTGGCGCGGTAAAGGAACGTCGGCTCATGGACGGCGCCCTCTACCTGTGAGGGGAGTGGCAGGGGAGGATGGAGTGTCAGACCACGGGACTATCTTGGGGGGGGGGGGGAGGGGCAGGTACAGTGCAGTATCAGAGCACTGTCACAGCACAAAGGACAGGGACATCTACCTCATACCTGTGGGGATGTGTGGATGGTTTGTCAGTGTCACCTGTAAAGACATTGGAGAGCAGCCTCTGCAGGCAGGGGAGAGAGGAGAGTTGGATATCAGTTATCACACCACCACCTGAATCACATCACAAAAGATGGTGCATTGTATCAGTGGGGGCCAGACAGCAGAGGATGGAATATCAGGCCACACAGCATGCCATGCAAGCCTAACAGGATGAACTTATGCAAGCAAGGTGTCAGACCCTGCTGGCATCAGATACTGAAGAGTATCAGACACAATTATTAAACCATTAGCACTCAGGACTGCCTTTTTCCTTCAGGAAGGGAGTGGAAGGGTGCAATATGTCCCACTGACCATGAATATTTGATCAGTGCCACAGAGAAATGTATTCAACACATGTGGGGGGGGGGGACTTTCAGATCACATGCACACATTTCTACACCCTTTGCCTACTGGAGTGAGGTTCAGCAAGTGGAAAGGCATCTTGTATGTGAGTGGGTCAGTCCAACATTGTCCTTAGCAGTTAGCATATTCAAAGACTGGTGTACATCCTGGTCAGAAAGTCTTAGAGGGATGGTGACTCCCATGACACCATAAATGTGAGGAGGAAGTATAAAACAGCATTAAGCTCAGCCAGTAACCAGTAGTTCAGCTCACCTGCAGAAGGTCATACTTGGGTGTGATGCACTGTTTGGCAGCCAGTTCCTGGAGCAGGGACACTGGTGTCTTGGTGGGAATACTTGGAGTCACCAGGTTCAGTGGCTGAAACAAATTTGATGGATAAAAACGAGATCTGATCACCAAATGAGCCATTTACAGATATATATCAACCATTGATATGAAGATCATGGGGCAAACGGCTAGATACCTACCTACTAAAGAAAAATACCTACCTATTCCCCAACCCCCGTCCCCAACTCATAAATTATCCGACTATCATTCTCATTAACCTTTTCATTTTGCAGTGAATAAACATTACAAAGCATTGGAGAAAGAGACTTTTCTTTATATCCTTCGTCTATGGGCTGAAAATTGGTCTTTTTACCTTAGCCTCAACTTCAGCATCTGGAGATGAGATGCCATTCAGAATGGGTTCCATAACAAGCTTGCTCTCTTCTTTAATTTATCAGCACAAATATTCTCACAAAAAATGGTACACTTAAATTATCGTAATGTGATATAGGCTTACAAATTTATTCCAAAACCGCGCCCTCTTCCAGTTTTACTTCAACTTGATTCCTTTCCCACGTTCACGAGGGGAAAAAGGAAAGACGAAAACTGTCAAACCCTATTCAAGCGAGTAGGATATGCATATGTTAGCAGAATGAGCAGAACTTCAGTCAAAAGGAACGTCATTTTTCGTTTTATTTTATTTTCGTTTTTTAAATTTGTTATCCAAATTGGCAATGAAATACCAATTATTATCGAATATACACTAAAAATTAGAAATATATAAAATGATTTTTTGAATTTGTGTCACATTTTGGAATATTTGGGAGAATAAAAACTATAAAACGTCATCAAACATCATATTTGCTCTTCTCTCCTAGTCTCCGAACACTCGTGTCCGGACAAAATTTCGTCTGACATTTTTTCGTCGGACAGTTTTTCGTCCGCAGATTTTCGTCCGACTTTTTTTCGTCTCGCATTTTTTTCGTCTGTACATTTTTTCGTCTGTGCATTTTTTCGTCTGTACATTTTTTCGTCTGTACATTTTTTCGTCCGGACATTTTTTCGTTCGTATATTTTTTCGTCTGTACATATTTTCGTCCGGACATTTTTTCGTTCAATAAATTTTACGTCTGTTCACCCAAGGTTGAGTGAAAACATACTACAATGCTATTCAACTGTGGAGGCAAATGACGTCATAATAATACTCGGGGCGAAGCAGTGCAGTGCCGAAGGCAATGCCTTAGGACTTAGGAGAGATTACAGGCAATGGTAAGTCAAATATTTTTAGGTTAAGTGGTTGTGTATCTGGCTTCAGGCCGAAGGCCTGAAGCCTGATGCATAACCACTTAACCTAAAAATATTTGACTTACCATTGCTTGCAATCTATTCATGCAAGTAACTTTTTCCTTATCCCCCGGTAGGCAAACATCAGTAGGTAAGGTTAGGTTAGGTTAGGTTAGGTTAGGTTAGGTTAGGTTAGGTTAGGTTAGGTTAGGTTAGGTTAGGTTAGGCTAGGTTAGGTTAAATGTTAGGTTAGGTTAAAGGTTAGGTTAGGTTAGGTTAGGTTAGGTTAGGTTAGGTTAGGTTACGTTAAAATTGTAGACGAAAAAATGTCCGGACGAAAAAACGCACAGACGAAAAAATATACGAACGAAAAAATGTCCGGACGAAAAAATGTACAGACGAAAAAATGTACAGACGAAAAAATGCACAGACGAAAAAATGTACAGACGAAAAAATGCGAGACGAAAAAAAGTCGGACGAAAATCTGCGGACGAAAAATTGTCCGACGAAAATCTGCTGGACGAAAAACCGTCATGGAATCCGAACACTTGTTTTTATCAGGCATGACTCGATTCATGAATATTATTTCTTGAACTATTCCAAGCGCAAGGTTCAAGCGGTTCAAGGGACATTTTAGGGATTCAAGTTACTCAAGTAAATGCACGAAGTAAATGTGGACTTCCCAAGGTAAAGGAAACGACATGGAGATTGAGATTTTCTGAGATTTTCCTGAATGGGGGGAGAGAGAGAGAGAGAGATACGGTTTATTGATGTACAAACACTGATACGGCTTCGAGCTCAGGAGCTCATATAGCTCGTATTACGCCATGCACGTGTGGCGTTTAAGAACGTGAATAAAGGAGCCGTTGTCAAGTAAGTACAGGTAGGTAGTAGGTACACATACACTGAAAAAAACTTACACCTAGAGAGTTATTTTTGGAGTTTTTCCATTCCAGTTTGGCGAATAATCACGCACCAATGGCATATAATGATTATGTTTTGTAGCGTATTCTTACTATCTGCATTGCATTAAGGGCGTTTTTGAAACTTATTCTTAAACCTGGTACTATAATCATCTCTTTTGTGTTTTAGCAAGTGCTAATTTTATCTTCTAATTTTATCACGTGTCCTTTTTATTCTTCCGGGTTATAAATTTATATCAGTCTCAAAGAGGCATGGGGTAATTTTAGCTTATTTCACGGTGATAAACAAGGTCATTGGAATATATTTGTGCTGAACTCCCATTAGATGGTAATAAAATTGACAGCTAGAGTACTTTTATCAAAACTGCATAAAAATAAACCGCTGTGGAGTAATTAGGGTAATTTTTATACTCCATTACGGCTGATAAATTGACGCAACAGAATAAAACTATTCTCATGTAGGTGTAAAATTACTTCCTTCGTGATAAAACTATCATGTCCGGACAATAATTTTATAACCATGGAGTAATATTATGTGGTAGCATTACTAACATTATTCTTCGGGAGTATTCGGGAGCGTATTTCAAGCAATACTGTATCACTTTCTTGATAATCCTATTCCGTTGTGACATAACTAATCTAAAAGTGATTAATTTATTCGTCCAGCACAGTATTATTCCAAGAATAATATTTTCGGAATGTCTCTGCAGTTCGCGACCATTCGCGACCGCCATTGTGCTCAAGTCGTCAGAACCAAGGCCTTCTGTCAGAGAACCGAGCAAGCGTCCCAGTCCTCGAAGGTAAGCTGAAATTACTGTATACTTTGTGTTTTGTTAGTATGACTTTACAGTAATCCGCAGTATGACCATACAATCCAAGAAATGCGTTGACGTAGATTTGCGGACGAAGATTTCCGCGATGATGAAATTCTGGAAGACAAATTGTCACCCATGGCCGCTACGTATTGGGTCCTCCGAGCTTCCTCCTGTGTCACGTTGATGTTTCCTGTCTTGTGGTCGATGTTACCCATAGTCGTCCAGTGCCCATTGCCTATCTAGGTAAAAGATCACCAGAGGTTGACACTTGACGTGGCGCGCTTTCAAACTTTTTGTGAGCTGGAGTAACTTACCTGAGCTGACCTTCCACAATGATATAATGTTCACTTGATGTTGCTTGATGTTAATTCCATTCATTAATGTGATTTTGCGATGTTTCCAGGTGTGGACTGACTTGGGAATGATCATGGGGCTCGAGGAGGACGTGAAGGAGCATGTCCTGCACAAAATCAGACATACCGCGAAGAAGTATGCCCAGACGATGATAAACGTGGAGCCGGCCGACAAAGACGGTGAGTTTTGAACGGGCACAAGCACACCTTTTCGGATGAGGTGTTCCGCTAGCAACACATCGTGCCGGGGGGGGGGGGGATACTCTTCTTCTATGTAACTGGGCTCGAGCCGATCATCGTAGACAATATATTCCTGGCCAGGGCTGGAATAATGTTTAGATCTGACTGATTTTTTTTAGCGAATGTTAAGTTAGGCCCGATGTATTTTCGATAAATACGAGGTCAGGCCAAAACATTAGCCAAGACCAAGTGTAGGAAGGTATTTCCCACGCATGCTTCTTCCTGCACGATGGAGAAATGACGTTTCACATATCCCAATGGCGTAATACATTAATAGCAGAGGGCAGGACAACTGTTTATTTTCTTGATGATTTTTTTTTTTTTGGCTTAAAGGAAGACTGCCACCTTTTTTACACAAAACGGTTTTCACTAGACCTAACCCACCTATGACCTACCCTGAAGTCTGTTTCCCGAAATTCGGCCTAGTTTTCAAGATATCCGCAATTGGACTTCAGATTAAAGCCATCACAAATGTGTGGAATATGGGAATGTAACATTACCATGTTAGAATCCCATCTCCCACACTTTTTGTGATGGCATCAATGTGAAGTTCGAATGCGGATATCTCGAAAACTAGGACGAATTTCGGGAAACAGACTTCAGGGTAGGTCATAGGTGGGTCAGGTCTACTGAAAACCATTTTAAACCGAAAACCGTAAAAAGGTGGCACTTTAACGACGGGTGGGACAACATGTTGTACCTTTGTGTGGAAACGGTGGACGCAGACACGCTATATACCGTGCTTCTATCTATGAAACCGTCCAATTCAACTGGAGACGATGGCATTAGTGTGAGCATGTTGCAGAAGTTTTTCCACGGCGTAAGACATGCGTTACTAGATGTTGTCAACTTCAGTTTGATCTCTGGTGTGGTCCCACGAGCGTGGAAACATGCGCTGGTGACACCTATCCCTAAAGGAAAGGTTACAACCAAGCCGTCCGATACACGCCCCATTTCTATTCTTCCGGCTATTATGAAGCTCGTAGAACGCACTGTTCAGACCCAATTAACAACGTACTTAGAAGAAAATCATCTTCTTGCTGATGCCCAACACGGTTACAGGAAGCAGCGGTCTACAGAAACCGCGCTTCACGTAATAACTGATAGGGTTCTTCACGCAATGGAAAACGGCAACATATCAATTTTGGTCTTATTGGATTTGTCCAAATGTTTTGATGTAGTGCCACATCAAAATTTACTTCGAAAACTTGCACTGTATGGCATTGACACGAAATGGTTCAGCAGTTATTTGTCTGATCACACTCAGCAGGTTAGGCTGTGTGACGGTAAAGGACGGAACGTACTGTCGCGCTCACGAGAAAATAACATTGGTGTTTTTCAAGGCGGAGCGCTATCATGCGTCATGTACATGTTGTATGCCAACGACCTCAGCCTCAGTGTCTCAGATGATGTAACAATTGTCCAGTATGCAGACGATACACAGCTGTTGGTCAGCGGAAAGAAACGTGACGTGCAGCGAATGGTGGCCTGTATGGAGAACGCCTTACACCGTATGTATCAGTGGTTTTGTGCTAACGGCATGATGCTTAACACAGCTAAGACACAAATGGTCGTATTAGGTACACCAGCGATGCTGCGCGACCTGCCCTTAGTCTCCCTTCACTTTTGTGGCACTGTTGTTGCTGAGTCGCGAGCCGCCAAGAACCTGGGAGTTTACGTTGACCGCCATCTCAACTATGAAACGCACATCGACAATGTAACTAGAAAGTGCACGGGCATTCTTATTGCTCTGACTCATGCACGTCACGTGATCCCAAGAGTGACACTGAAATCCATTGTCGAGGCACTTGTCCTTTCCGTGTTACGGTATTGTTTGTCAGTGTATGGTTCGTGTGGCATGACGCAGCTTCGACGTGTACAAAAACTTGTCAACTTCTGCGTTCGAGTAGTGACGGGCAAGAGGCGATATGACCATGTATCTCAGTCCCTGGAACAACTGCAGTGGCTCACTGCTGAACAGCTTGTGATATATCACACTGTGTGTGCGGTCGAGCGGGTTATAGTTTCAGGGCAGCCTGAAAGCATCATGGCGACTATTGGTCTGCGGACTGATCAGCGCCACAGCCATAACACGAGGCAGGCCAGCCTGTACACGCTCCCGACTATCCGAACTGAGGCAGGGAGGAGACGGCTGTGCTACCGAGGAGTAGGGCTACTGAACAGTGTCGGTGTGGAGCCCGGAACGTGCGGGTTCCGTTCTGCAGTCAGACGCGCTGTTAAGTCGCAGTAGGGTATACCTGACTTCATCATGTGCGTGATTGTAGCTGCCAGCTGGTATGTCTGTTTCGCCGTGTCCACAATGTTTTAATTCGCTTACGTGAACTAGTGAAAAGCCATTGTTTTATAATGGATCTTGTTCGAATACATCTATCTATCTATCTATCTATCTATCTCACCTTTGGACAGCCAATCGTCGTTGGTTTTGCTATTAGTCAAAAAGTGTTGTTTAACTCTAGTGATATTGAAAAGTCATGGTTGTCTCCATTCATGGTTGTCTTCATTGTCTCCAAATATACCACAGTTACATGCAGTTTGATACCTACTTGCATTCCATACTTAACCATGACAGCGGAACATCGGGTACTAATTTCTTATTTCACTGAAATATTTTAACGACGTATAATTATTTTGTAATTATGCACGTTTAGTTGTAAGAGTGTATCGTACTACGTAAACGTACTACGCATCGTACTACGATTTTGAGAGTGAAAAGAAATCAGGAAGAAGCGAAGAATCGTCTCCATGGATACTGTAGTGGCATAGCCAGCTACTGCACGAACGCGGTTCCTTGTTTCTCTCCTAGGTTTTCTTTACGTTTATTTGTACGATATGCATTGATGCCAACTGACTGCAATATTCTTTTTCACGGCAGACGACGAGCTGCTAGCTCTACTTGCCTATGTTTGTGGAACAACCATTGGCACCTTGGCGGATCCGAGAAACGGGGTTCGTCAGGCAGGTGAGGAACTATCGGTGGACGGTTTGATGGTCTGCCAACTGCCGGCCACCAGGTTGGAGACCGTGGCCCTAATGACGGCCGCCCACGCTGTCTTCTACACAAAGTTCACGGGGCCCTGCAGGGCCCTGTTCGAGATTCTTTACCGGAGTGTGGGATTCGATGTAAACATATCTGGCTTATCACAGAAGGTGTAGGAGGTTACCCAGGTAGTGTAGAACCAGCATCGGAGATGCCCACTTCGAATGACTGGCGACCTGCGGCTCACCTGTGGTTCAAGTGACTCGTGACTTGTGGCTCACCTGTGGCTCAAGTGACTCGCAACGTGTGGCTCACACTACTGGAGCCTCTGTATTATGACTAATTCAGCTGCGGCGGTCTCAGTACGCCAATGAGTCTCAGTACGTCTTTCATAGCCCAGATCACGCTTGCTTTATATGCCATCCGTGGCGGTGGTTCTGTGCGCAGATGTTATTCGTTAGCATCAGTGTTAACCATACACGCTCGTTTTATCTGCCATCCGTGGCGGTGGTTCTGTGCGCAGATGTTATTCGTTAGCCTCAGTGTTAACCATACACGCTCGTTTTATCTGCCATCCGTGGCGGTGGTTCTGTGCGCAGATGTTATTCGTTAGCCTCAGTGTTAACCATACACGCTCGTTTTATCTGCCATCCGTGGCGGTGGTTCTGTGCGCAGATGTTATTCGTTAGCCTCAGTGTTAACTCGCGCCCTGATGGGGGTGTGTGTGTGCTTGAACACCCCCCCCCCCCTTGTGGTTTTTCGCGAATATCTCAAAAACGGCGGCGCGGAGCGTCGCCGTTTTTGGTACACCTTATCATAATCAATTCTACACATGTTGTGAAAATTTCAGACCAAGGTCATTCAAGGTCAGGTCACCAGGTCACTTGAAGTGACCTCACCTCAAAAAAGTTTCAATGTCTGTCATATAGCTACACCGAGTGACCGATCGCTTTGAAACTTTAAGCGATTGCTAAGAGCAATAGCATGTACAAAATGTATATCTCAGAATTTTGATATCGATGACCTAAGGTCAGGTCAATTTTGCGACCTCCCCATTATAAGTCAATGGGAGAAAATTGAAATGCGCCTCTTTTGGCCGAAAGACATTATAAACACTCCCAAACATCGAATTAAAAGTGGTTTAGACACACTGAACATGAAAATGGTGTCCGAGACCCTTGTTTGTGCCCTGAGGTCATCTTAGGTCACGAATGGTATCTAACAGTTTTTCGCAAATAACTTTTGATAGAGGCATGCTAGAGCGATGAAAACGCCTTATATGTGTTCAGCTCGACGATACGGATCGACTGATATGCAACATGACCCTTTCCGGTCAGGTCATGACCTTGACCTGTGGTCAAATTTTCAACTTGACCTTTCAAGGTCAAGTTATAGTTCATTCGATGCGTCTTGACGAGAGGAACACGATGCCGGTGAAAGTAAGATCGTACAAGGCTTGGGTCAAAAGTTATTGCAGAAAAACTGAAAATCGGCTATTTTTGCAGTTTTTGCCCCCTGCAGGCAAAACCGTTGACGTTAGGTCAAATCTGAGAGAATTACTCAGAAAGGGCGTTAATAGGGCTATCGAATGCACTTTCCGCGGCGCTGTAGCTCAATTGGTTCCTGAGTTATGCGTGGGCTTCTTGGAAATTTTCGACATTCGACCTGGAAATCGGCGAAATTTTGCCTTCAATGACCTCTGGTGACCTCACCTTTGACCTGACCAAAAAATTGACCGAAGTGATTTCGTCATTATTTTTTACGCTCTTTCGAACGCCGCCTTCCGCGTATCGCTACGTGGCCCAGGAGCCGAGTTACAAGGGGGGGTGTTCAAACACCCCCCCCCCCCAGCAGGGCGTGGAAATCCAGGACCCCCAGCCGGGCGCGGGTTAACCATACACGCTCGTTTTATCTGCCATCCGTGGCGGTGGTTCTGTGCGCAGATGTTATTCGTTAGCCTCAGTGTTAACCATAACGCTCTTGTGAGTTGTGACCTTGAACGTCCTTCCAGTGATTTCGCATTGCGGCCGGCAGAGACGAAGTTTTGCCTCCCAGTTGAGACGCCGCTTCTCAACTAGGAAGCAAAATTACGTCCCTGTCGGCCGCAATGCGCCATCACTGGAACTGCGTCCAAACTAAGATGTACCTGCTGATGCCCAGGTACCATTCGTTAATCAATTGTTGGTGTTTCAATACATTGTTTAAATGCATTCCTTATTTTACACTTGGTCATAATATTATCACATCACCCCTCATTATCAGGGGTGGTATTTTTACACCGGGGCTTGATTTTACCGGGGAGTTACTCCGGGGTAAAATTATCGAAAAAAGGAGTGCTTTTTGGCATGGCAATATTATTCCCCGAATGGGAGTAATTTTAGTGTTAAGTTAATAAAATTATCATCTGGTGTAATTTTATCCAAAGATAGCATACTTTTATCCTCCGTCATAAAATTACTCCCTAGCACGAATAATATAAGCGTTCGGATACTAAATATATTCTATATGCTAGTTTTATTCCCCAAAACTCCCCATTTTAGGCGCTTATGCCAGGTCATAAAATTATTCGATTGCAGGAGTGCTTTTTGGCATTCTAAAATTAGAAAATGGGGAGTAAGTTTTTTTCAGTGTAGTCCCAGCGGGAAAATGCCGCCCGCGCTGAGACAGCAGACAGCATGTGAAAGTAAGTGAAATATTATTGCATAATTTGCATTATGAATGCTTTCTTGTTTCAGGTTGTGGGCCTTCTTTTTTCAGAAACTAGCTGTGAAGATTGTTTTACATTCATAGAAAACTTTCAATCAGGCTTGGCAGGAATTATGTTCAGGTGAACTAGATAAGCTTGAAGATGGGAACCAGTGGCCTTGCTGACAGCAACATATGCAGGCTGTGTGGAGCAGAATCTGAAAACACAATTTCCATATTTGATGCAGAAGATGAGGAGCCATTTTGCATTAAAATCAACAAATATCTTCCATTTCAGGTAGGTACTGAGATAAGATGAACAGTTGAGATGAGCAGTATTTAAGATTATCAGATTGCTATTCACATAATTGCCAGTCATTACCTCTTAAAAATATTCCAAGTCATGTTAACTCTTTAACTTGATATTCTGTTAGTGTTGTCTCTCAAACTGCACAGATAACTCTGCTTTCATGGACTCATCGCCTCTCTCCCATGAAGTACTGTTGACAGTTGTTGTGCTGTAGGATTATTATTTCATTCAGATGATGACAAAAAGATTTATCAACCTTCTAAACATGGAGACTTGCAGATACTCACCTGGTATACTCACCTGGTTGGGTTCCCAGTGTCATTTAGGAAGTCAGGAAGGAAGTGAGAAGTGGGTATGAGGAACAGGAACCCTGAATCCTAGACGCACCAGCCAAAGTTGAGTTCTTGTCTGGGGAAGATTATGAAGTACGAAGGCTGGAGTTGAGCGTCTTCCAAGGTGACACGCATGAATACAAGGCACTTAAACACAAAGTAACGAACACAATAGTACGGTACGGTAAACAGCAACACAGTCATAAAAAGACAAACGATACATAAAAAGACAAACGATAAGCAGCATATAGGTAGAAGAGTTTTTACACAAAGTCAAATAGTCTGTCGTGCAAGTGCAGATGGAGCATTTCCTTGAACTTTGCTAGGTTTGGGGCTGAGACAGCCTCCAGAGGCAGAGCATTCCAAGCAGGCATGCATCGCACTGAGAAGAAACGCTTCCTAGTGTCAGTCCTGGTGAAAACGGGAAATATTTTGTGTGTGTGTCCTCGTGTTCGTGTTTGCGGAGGTCGACTAAACACATCAATGGGCTCTATACAGGATTTTCCATTAAATATCTTCCAGCAGTGGATTAAGTCTGAGCGAAGGAGCCTGCCCTGTACTGAATACAAGTTAAGTGACCGTAATCTGTCAGAGTAGCTCTTGTTAGCAAGCCCATCAACTCGTTTAGTCCACCTACGCTGTACATTCTCTAGGAGCCGCAAGTCTTCGATATAGCCCATGTTCCAGATACACGAACAGTATTCCATCAAGGGTCGAATGTGTGTGGTTAAAAGAAACATCATGAAGTCAGGTGAGCGACAGACCGTAGATTTTAGCAAGCTCTGGGCAAGGCCACCTGCCTTCTGAACAATTGTGTGTACATGTTCGTGAAATCTCAGGCGACAGTCAACAGTCACACCAAGATCAACATGACTCTTAGAGAAAGGGATTTGCTGGCCATCAAGGAAGTATCCCGGTAGGTCTATGTTAGGACTAGAGCCATTAAACCTTAAAGCAACACACTTCTTTGAGTTCATCTTTAGTCCCCATGATGCTGCCGTTGAGTGTAGAGTGTCAATGTCTTTCTGGATCTGCTGTGTAGCAAGGGATGGAGAGGAGGAGGATGGATCATAGGGCACACAGGCATAAAGTTTAATGTCATCAGCGAATATTTTATAGTCACTTTTCAGTTGGGAGGCAACACTATTCACATACACAAGGAACAAGAGGGGTCCCAAAACACTTCCCTGAGGTACACCACTACTAACTACACAGGGTTTGCTGAGACAGTCCTTCACACAGACCTGCATCAACCTACCCTGTAGGAAGGAGGATAACCAGTCAAGCAGACAACCCTGCAGTCCCAGTGATCGCAGTTTTACGAGCATGATCTCATGGTTAACTACATCAAAGGCCTTGCTAAAGTCAAAAAATATTATATCTACGACATGTCTAGCATCCACCATCTTCGAGACTGTGTTATATACTAATAATAGTTGGTCCATTGTTGACCTGCCTGGTCTGAAACCGAATTGGTTGCTAGTTAGTAGGAAGTTAGTTTCAAGGTAGTTTCTAAGTTTAGTACATATCAAGCGTTCCATAGTCTTACAGACAACCGAGGTCAGGCTGATAGGCCGATAGTTCAGAGGGTCATATCTGTGGCCCTTTTTAAAGATAGGTTTTACAATAGACATTTTCCAGAGAGCTGGCAGCTTCCCTTCCTGCAGGGATTTCTGAAAGATCAAGTGCAAGGGATATGCCACCTCAGCAGCACAAGACTTCAGCACCAGTGGATGCAATCTGTCGGGCCCCATGGCAGAATGGGGGTCAAGCATCATCAGTGCCGATAGGACATCGTCCGTTGAGAAATCAACACTGTTAAGCGTTCCATTGAACATCTGATGGGGAGCAGGGTTCCTTGGGCTGTTAGGAGAGTAAACAGAAACAAACGATGAGGCGAACATTTCAGACATGGCTTGGGCATCGTCGCTCATTTCACCAGTCTTCAGCATTAAGGGGCCAACTGCTGGACAGCCAACCTTCTTAGACCTTACATAAGAATGGAGAAGTTTTGGGTTTTGTCTGGACCTGTCAATTAAGTTTCTTTCATACTGGCATTGTGAAGTTACAGTGAACATTCTTAACTCTTTGTTAATTGAAGCAAAGGCACCATACGCCTCCACGGAAGCATGGGCTTTCCTTCCCAGTTTCTGTCTAACAACCTTATAGTTATTCCATGCTCTCTGGCGGCGGTGTATAAGGCTCGTCGGTGGTCTAGTCTGGAACTGCGGCCGGGTCCTCAGACGTGGAGGTTGTTCTGGCACAAACTCATTAGTCAGATCTGCAATGACTCGTACAAACTGGACAAAACACTCATCACAATCCCGGAAGGCAAACTCGAAGTCCCAGTCCGTATCTTTCAGCAGCTGGCGCATCAAGGCAAAGCGACCCCTGCTCCAGGCTCTCCTGTAAGGTCGGGGGTGAGAGACAGTTAAGATGTCATCTGACTCGAACACATAATCACATACAGCTAGGCAGTGGTCGCAACCTGGCAAGTGAGGGCATATCTCAATGTGTCCAAGACGGTCAGGTTCCGTAGTTAATACCAGGTCCAAGATGTTTCCAGACCTGGGAAAGGTTGGTTCCTTAATCCACTGGGTTAGACCGAGTAGGTTGAAGAGGTTGAGAAAATTGCGTTCCACTGTTGCACAACTGGAAGGGGCATCAGCACTTTTCCAATCCAGGTTCGGCAGGTTAAAATCGCCCAGTACTATCACCTCCTTGTCTGCACAGAAATCTGACAAATATGACAGCAGTGAGTTATTTTCATCTTCATTGTTTGAAGGAGGCCTATAGACCACTGCAACAAACACACTGAAATTTGAGAGGCAAAATGTTATGACGTTAAGAAGCGGCCTGTTGACATTGGTAACAGCTAGTTTGTTGTGCACATACACACAGACTCCATGCTTGAATACATTGCCACATACATCATTTCTGAGAAGAGTAAATCCTGGGATCTGAACAAAGGAATCAGCTATATGATTTAAAAGGTGGGATTCGGTAATGCACAGAATATCAAGCAATCTCTGGTCGCTGAACTCAGTGAGTTGCTTGACCTTCGAAGGAAGTCCATTAACATTGGCCAAGGCTATTCTTAAAACTGTGGATGTAGGCAGACAAGTTAGTTTTCCGCTCCCACTGGAGCAGATGGTTGAGCAGGGGGAGCAGCAGCAGGGGCAGGCCTCTGTGAGGGAGGTTTGGGGGCCTGTAACGCATGGTCATTTCCTTGGTTCAGTGAGCCATCCGCCTGGGCCTGCTGCTGTCTGCGCTCCTGGCGGCGCAGAAAGAGTTCTGATCGTTGTGCATAGGTCAGGTCCCTACTGATGTACACTCGTTCGTACTGGGTACCTCTCAGCTGTTTTGCCTTCTCTAGTAAGGCTTTTCGCGACTGGTCATCAGAGATCCGAACCCTGTAGAAGTTAGCATGACCTGCAATTTGGAAGACCTCTGGTGTCGAAACCTGCAAACCCAAGCAGTCATCTGCAAGTTTTGTAAACTTACTGACGAAGTCCGAAGGAGAGGTGGCTGCCAAGCCCTTCACAATGATAAAGGATTGACGTTTTTCCCTTTCTCTCTGTTCTTTGAGCTCTTCGCGAATCAGTGTGCGATAGTTCAAGTTGTTAGACGGCTGTTGAGGATTTGGCTGGGTTTGCATGTGAGGTGCAGTGCTTTGGTTCTGTACGGCAGCACCATGGTCACAACCTGTAGCCTGTTGTGAGGACAGGGCCTTGACTTGGGTGGAAAGTTCCCTTAAGGCTGAGCAAATCCCCTTCACCTGGTTGTACAGATGACTAATAGTCTCAGCAAGGTGAGGCTCTGTGTGGCTTGTCGGAGATTCGCCGCGCGCACTCACATGTTGGACCTGACATTTCATACAAACAAACTGAATTCCTGCTCCATCATACTTCATGATGGCATCAATGAGGTCCTGGGGAAGACCCGAACACATCTCGTTTCCATGGACCCAATGCTCGCACTTATCACATCCTATCGGGTCATTGCCCACATCGTCACCACATGTACCACAGATTGACTCTTCACCCCTGGCAGAAGCTGCAGCATTGTTAACGCTTGCACTTCTCCCCCTCCTGCCAGCCCCAGCCGACCCCCTGCCTCGACCGCCTCGTGCGTTTCTCATCTGTACAGTGTGAGTGTTCAGACTGAGACTGTGAGACTCGACCCCCGTGGCAGTTCTCGATGTTAGCTCAGGGTGCAAGGCAAGGAACAAGCGCCAACAGCATAGCAGGGGTTCCAAGCAGGGGTAGCTGGGTTAAGGCAAGGAAGGACAAGATAGCTGACACTTAGTGGTACTTCCAACCAGGTTATGCAGGCTGTGCAAGCAGGCAAGACGTGCAGACGAGCAGACGTGCAGACGTGCAGACGAGCAGACGTGCAGACGAGCAGACGTGCAGACGTGCAGACACGTGAGACCTTAGGGAATATCAACAGCCCACAGACGAAATGCAGCTGACTCTAAATCTTATCATTTTTTACAACTCGCAAGCCCGTAAAAGAGGCTTCACAACGGGATATCAACATGCACAGATAAAGGCTTATTGTGCGCTCATGGTCAATCTGTTTTCTCAATGTACCCAAATGAGAAGCAGAATGCAAATCACATCCAGGTTCTTATATCCCATCTCATACTAGACTCTGACCTGGTCTGACCAATCGTCTCCCTGTTTTTCGAAGGTGTTCGATGACGGCCGTCACCCGCGGCGCATCTGCAGCCCCTGTCACGGGAGTGTCTCAGCCACCCAGGTGTTCCTGGACCGGGTACTGGAGGGCCAGTACACCATACACGCCCTGCTGCACCCGGACCGGCCAGGTGCGTTCCCGATCCACACCCGATCCACCCGACTCTCCCCAGTACCAGCGAGGAGGTCTGCTACCCGTAGCTTTACTGTTGTGGGCCAACTGCCGCTATGACTGTTAGGATGGCAGATGGCGATGGGTTGGATATCCGCATAAACAGTGGTTGATATGTGCCTGTTACAGCTATATGTGCCGATGAACAATGACTCAGCCAGCCGTACAGGCTGTATGTGTGTTATGGTATAAGTTATTTGTGCGATCGGTAATTGTACGGTTATGCGAATTAATTGTACGTTCTTCGTTGTCCGTTGATGAATTAATCGTACTAGCTCTCTGGTGACGAATTAATGGTACGTTTTTTGACTGTTTCCATATTTTGCTCAGAAAACCATTGACCAACGAGCTCAGCTCTGAACTGTCGCTATGCATGCATCGTGCTCCAGTTGTCTAACTCCACACACCCGTTCTGACCATCTGGACAGCGCCGCCCGACCCGGCCGCCCTGTACGCTGCCGATAACGCTCTCCGTGGCCAGCTACTCGCCGATGAGGTGCTGCAGAAGCGCCGCAGGGGACGGCCGCGGAAGGGCGACGTCACGGCGGTCAAAGGTGAGCTGGTGTCCGAGATGTTCGTTAATCGGCATCGGGTACGGGGACCCGCAGTTGCTACTGTACAGCGACCCTGAGTAAATTGTCCCAGCACCCTCACAGGGAACAGCGATAAGCTGTCAGAGGGCACGCACAGAGAACCTCAGCTGCTCTTGTACAGGGACCGGCAGTCGATATCACTGTTGTCGGTTGTTACTGGACAGGACAGACGGCTATAGTTGGGGTTCGTGTACAGTAGCAACTGCGGGTCCCCGTACCGCGCGTACCAGCTCATGGCTATTTTCTCGACATGGATCCATTGTTCCCGATAATGAACTCTTAATTGAGTTTCTCTGTCAGCTTCTTTTTTTTTTTAGTCGATAAAGTCGCCAGGGACGTGATATTATTTCACATTGTTGTGTATTCATGCTTACTCGTCCCCGTATTTTTTTCGTCCATGTCCCTTGATGTACTAAGCTTCACTTTGTGCATTTGATAAGTGTGCAGTGCAGTGTCGAACATCAGATCCACTCCACCGACGTCTATCCTTCGCCTCTCCGCGTTTCAGCAGCAGACCCAAAGCCAGCGCCGGCCCCGGCACCCGCCGAGCCGCCGCCGGCGCTGGACCGGTCTCGTCGCCCGCGCGGCCGGCTGCCAGCGCGCTTCCAGAACTCGGTGAAGGGCAGGGAACTGGAGCGCGTGCTGGGGGGTGCCGACGTAGCTGAGGCGGCCGGAGACGGTGACGGCGAGGGCGAGACGGGAGCGGAGGGAGAACGAGGTGAGCTTTCTAAGGGAGTGTAAGGGCGAAATTTGAGCTGTCTGTCTGACCACAGGCTACCGGGTGAGGAATTGATAGTGACATCAGTATCAGTTTGTGTTGTTAAATTAATTCGTTGTGTTGTTAGTTTTGCGTCTTAATTGTGCGCGTTATGTCGCGGCTTATGGTCGCTGTGTTTGAATAAGCCACGCATTTTAACCACTTGTCATGCCTTCGATTTTTATATTCTCGTACTTTGCGTTGCCAGTCACAGTGCGATTGCGATTGTCAGTCAGAGTCACAGCGCTGACAGCTGACCCCCCCCCGCCCACAGCGCCGTGCCATGTCCGCGTGGAGGTGCTCTCTGTGCCGGGTGAGGCCGGGTCCGGCCAAGGCGGCTCCACCTCCGACCAGGACCAGCCGGAGACGCTCGAGGAGTTTCAGCCCTCCGGTGAGCCACCGTGGTGACCGGGAAGGCCGGATTCCTCAGGTTGTATCTGTTTGGTTGATTATTTACTATTCAGCAACTGGTCGCGTCGTCCGTAGTTAGTTGTGTTTTTACGCCGTTACCTATAGTCATTGCTTCTCTGTTCGGCTCGTTCTATAGGGTGTTTTCTCTCATTTTTACTCCGATTGACTCTCATTTAGGTCCACATTTAATATCTGTATGGTCTTTAACTGATCACTCTGACCCACCCCTCCCCGGTTCCGTCGCAGACGCCGAGGCGGCGACCCCGTTTTCCCGCAAACGCCGGCGACAGGCGCGATTCCAGTGTGAGGTCTGCGGCAAACAGTTCCAGATGCAAGGCCGACTCAAGTTCCACAGGTGCGTACCACGCGATCAGCAGTGGCGAGTCAAGCAGGCGTGGGTCTGCAGCTGCAATGGCCTGCTGCTGCGCTGGCCTTCCATTTCCTTGGATTAAGTTTTATCGATAACGTCCTTTCCTTCTCTATCTTAACGATGTCCTGCCTCTGTCTCTTGCCTGAAGGTGATCTCTGATAGTAACTAGGCTCTGCGCTGTGCCGTCCTCTTACCTGACTACCCTGCTCTGCGCTGAGTTCTCCCTGACCTGTTATCGTTCTGCTCTCTCCGTGCAGGGCGCTGCACCGCGGCGTGCGTTTCGAGTGTCTGGGCTGTTCGGCGCGGTTCAAACTCGGCGCCGAGCTGGCGTTCCATCAGACGGAGACGGGCCACACTGGACAGGTGAGCCGAGCCCAGGGACTACACCGCTGCTCTCCTTATCTTTCTCTTATCTGTCCCGCCGCAGAAGTCACTCCGTACAGGATAGAGGCATACTGTCAGTTGTCGTTGATATTTGGACATCTTTCGACATATCTTTTATCTCCCCCTTTCCACTCTGCGGAGTATGGAACCGTCGTTAGTCGCGAATCGCGATGTCCTTTCGGCAGATTTGAAGCTGTTCCGCCCGGGGCGTCGGTGACTCGTTAGGTCGGGTTTCTCAGTCAAATACCGTCCTGTTCGTAGGGTTTGGCACGGATGTACAAATTGGGCTGAGGTCCTCAGTCCTTATCCCTCCCTCCTCTCCTGTCATAGTGAAGGGGAAGGTCTGACCCTCCCCTTCCCGTCCACAGGGTGTGGTGGAGGGTGTGGACTGACGGTGTACTGACCCCCTCCCTCCTGTCCACAGGGTGTGGTGGAGGGTGTGGACTGACGGTGTACTGACCCCCTCCCTCCTGTCCACAGGGTGTGGTGGAGGGTGTGGACTGACGGTGTACTGACCCCCTCCCTCCTGTCCACAGGGTGTGGTGGAGGGTGTGGACTGACGGTGTACTGACCCCTCCCTCCTGTCCACAGGGCGTGGTGGAGGGTGTGGACTCTGAGCCGCTGGCGGACCGCTCCCGCGTGCCCTGCACCGAGTGCCCGCGCTCGTTCGCCTCCAAGTGGTCCCTGCATGTACACCAGCTGCAGCGACACAACGCCGACAAACGCTTCGAGTGTCCCACCTGCCACAAAAAGTTTGGGCAGCTCAGCCAGATGAGGATGCACGAAAAGTCACACACGGTGGGTACACGGGGAACTGGTGGGATGAAACGGGAAGTTCAGTGTGCACATGGCGGGCGGCAGCGGTAAGAATGTGGGGAGCGCGTATACAGTCTGTGACTCGAAGCATCGATCTGCATAATGTTGATGACAGGCAGCGGCGTGTTGATAAGATGATATTTGAATCGTTATCGCGCGTAATATTTCTGTTGACCTTGTTGAGACGGCTGCTTTATTTTATTGTGCACCGTATTTTACTGGCGTCAGCTTACTGCCTGAGAAATCTCTCCGGCCGTCCGTTCAACCCTCCCGCTAGACTTGCTCCCATCTGACCGTCGTCCCTCCCCCTTCCCCCCAGACGCGCTCCCAGCCGCGGACATGCGCCGAGTGCGGTAAGGAGTGTAACAGCCGCGCCGCGCTGGCTTACCACACGGAGGCGGCACACGGCACGCCCGGACGACTGTTCATGTGCAACCTGTGTGGAAAGGGGTTCCGCAACCAGCACCTGCTCAGCAGACACGGCGCGGTGCACATCACGGAGAGGTGAGAGAGACGTGGTAGATACAGTCCCATTAACGGCCAGGGCGTATCGTGCTTGGGTATGTCTTCATGTCAAAACGAATGATCGGGTATGATATAATGTGGTGATAAAATATGGAGCAGTTACTCGTTTGCAGACTATTTTTTTAAAGCTTTTGCTTGTAACTGTCACACTTGCTAGGCGTCGTCTATGACCCGTTACGCAGACCGTGTGGTTGGGTGACGATCTTTTCCGCTTATTTACTCACACGATTCAGCTAAGGCAACGCCAGCCTCTTATACGATACGTCATTACAGTTTTTGCTCCGATCTCCATTTCCCCACCACACCACTGACGCCATCCCCCCCCCTTCCACCGCCAGGAACTTCAAGTGCCCCGAGTGTCCGTCGTCGTTCAAGACCAAGGGTCACCTGACGAACCACATGGTGCGCCACACGGGAGAGAAGAAGCACGCCTGTCCTCTCTGCCCACAGCGGTTCGGCCACAAAACAGCGCTGACGTTCCACATCCGATGGCACAAAGGTGGGAGAAAGGGTCGGTGCACAGATAACAGTTAAGTACTACTGTTATCTGTGGTCGGTGGTATCTGAACCTACCATAGGGATACTGTGGCTATCTCATGTCTTGTTCAGTTGATTTTGGACATTTAGTCATGGTGTGAATTCGGTGAGGTGCATTTATTTGTGCTGTAGTTTTTCACGATGCGGGGCTCACGAGTTCGATGTGATTGCTAAAAACCCTTACATAGTCCCGACCCCTGAGCTCTTCTTGCCCTATGTATATGTCAAGGTCAGAGCCTTAGTGTGTGTCCCTATGGCCTAGTGTCCTCGCCCGAATGAGCACTCTTACGTGTTGTACCATGGCTGCCCCCAGGTGAGAAGCCGCACGAGTGTTCGGTCTGTAAGAAGCGTTTCTCCCAGCGCGGTAATTTGGTGGAGCACGAGCGGATCCACACGGGAGAGAAGCCGTTCCCGTGCACCGTCTGCTCCCGGGCCTTTGCCACCAACTGCCAGGTACGTGCGGGTCGGGACGCCCGTACCAGAAAGGCTTATCACGCTTTTTGCAATGTTATCGTATCCTTGATATTTAATAACCCATTTACATTCATTTATTAATTAATTCACTCATCTGTAATTTATTCGTCCAATCGTTAGGCATTAATTCATTCGTCATTTAATTATTTCATTCATTCATTCATTTGTTCATTCGTTCATTCATTCATTCATTCATTCATTCATTCATTCATTCATTCATTCATTCATTCATTCATTTATTCATTTATTCATTCATTAACATTTTAGCGCCACAATCTAGCCATGAACGGGGTCATGATAAGACCCGGTGATTATTTCATTACCCGTCACTCGCCGACCTACCATAACCCGTCGGCCGTCACCGCTCCCCTCGTGCAGCTGAGCGCGCACATGCGGTCGCACGGCGCCGGCCGCCCGCTACTCTGCCGGCCCTGCGGTAAGACGTTCACCAGCCGGGACCGGTGGAGAGCGCACTGCCGGCTCCACGGCACTCAGCGGCCCCTGGCTTGTCCCACCTGCGGCAAACAGATGGACAACAAGTGGACTCTGATGAGACACATGCGCACGCACACGGGGAAAGGTGTGTACTTCCACATCTCGATCTGCATCCGAATTAATGCTACAGGAGATGGCTCAGATCGGTTTAATGCCGGCATCTTTTTTTGCGATTTTAGGAAAAGTCGAACTTATTCATCTAAAGTGATGGACGATGGTGTTCAGCAAACTAACGTACTCCGACGGTGTCCCCCAGCGTCCCCTGCGGACGCCGGGGCCAGCTTGGTGTGCGGCGTGTGCTCGTGGTCCTGTGAGGACGCCTCCGCACTGCAGCGTCACCAGGAGGAGGAGCACACGGGCGGCGGCGACGGACCAGAGCTGCTGACCACCGGACTCGTGCAGGTGGGTTATCCACGTACTTATCAGCAATGACTCTTTGCATGATTAATGTGTTTCGGGCCCATTTGTGCATTTTTTTCTTAGACGGCCTTGGTCAGGTCTGCTGGGGTCATCTGGGTTCGTTGGATTACCTAGTATTTGGTCCAGTAGTGTCTGTTCGTTGGAAGCCTGCTATGTAAACGCAGTTCCTTATTCATAGGGCAAGGCACACCAGCTTATCTGTGCTGCAAGTAATAATGTCTGGCTCATTGTCTCAGGCCTTTCCCCCAGGGGTCCGCTCTAGACAGCTGTATCTGACCCCTTGTCACGTATGTCCCGCAGGACACCGGTCCGCTGTTACAGCTGGACGGCAAGCCGGCCGAGTCTCAGGTGATCTACGTGACCTGTCAGAACCCCGCCGACCCGTCCACCGTACAGCTCATCGACGGCATCGCCGCCGTGGTGAGTCAGCGGAATGTGTAAACGGGGGATAGGTTGATGGATTCGCGCTGTGGGGTAGGACTTAGGGAGGCGTGAACCGGTCGAGTGTCGGTCGATTGGTACTGGAAATGGGATTTTATTTGAGAGTGACTCTGTGACAGGTCCCGTCCGTCTGTGTATGGCTGAATTTGCCGTGACTGTGCCGTATGTGTGACTGTGTGATCTGTTTCTGTGTGTCTTTAAGACAGCTCTCAGCGGACAGTGAAGTACTGCTGGAGGACGCAGCCGACGGGGCAGTACTGTCCGTGTCTGACTGTCTGGTTTGTGTCTCTGTCTTCAGGGCGGCGCCCGGCCAGTACAACTCTCAGCAGACAGCGAGGTGCTACTGGAGGACGCAGCGGATGGCGTGGTCCAACTGGCGGCCAACAAGGGCCTGGTCACCGGCGAGGGAACGCGCACCCTGGAGCTGACAACGGAGGACGGACGGAGAATTCAGGTGGGAGATGGAAACTGACACGGACACTGACAACGACACACTGGCGAACACTGAGACTGGACCTGAGGACTGAGGATGGACATCCAGGTGGAGAAGGATACGGATACTGACACCACTAAGGCCTGAAACAGACTCTTTCCGCAGCCAGGAAATCGCATGCGAGAACCTATTCAAATACATGGAAGCACGCTCGCATCAATCGCACGCACCTCCCGCAAGCGATTGATGCGAGAAGAATTACAATGTATTTGAATAGGCTCTCGCATACCGACGCTGTCATGACTGCCACGTCACAGGAGACGGATGACTTGTATTTACGGATTGGGAGAGACACGGACACTGATGACATGTTGGAACATCCACATAAGAAATTATCAATATACAATTCGCAAATTTATGGCCCCGATCAGTAACCTGGGATGACCTAAGGTGACCTGACCTGACCTGGCCCGATGTTCCGTTCTCGTTGCGCAGATCACACTACAGGACGTGAAGGGTGACCTGGAGCCAGCCGAGCTCGCCGTCAAGGGTGATTTGGAGCCAGCCGACCTGACTGCCGCCGTGGCACCTTCAGAGGTCGGCGGTGTCGGCCAGGGGGTCGAGTCGCTCCACGTCACTGCCGAGGATACACAGGAGGTGGGTGCGGGAGGTGTAGCTAAACATCACCGAGAGCCGGGCTCCGTAATCTGTCCACAGAAAGATGGCCATATCATTCACGTCCGAACATGCCCACCATTCACTGTCCAAACATGTGGATTTGTAGATTAAGAAAGAGTCCCTCTATAACGCAAAGTCCTGCAAATTTATATCCTTGGCGATAATTGTGAACAATGGACCTGAAATATGTCATGCGACACCGTCTGCTAACCCGTCTACTCCGCGCCTTTTCTGGGTGTTCGATATATAAGCGACCCTCGTCAGTTTTGTCGGTAGGTATTTGTCTCTTCCTGTCCGTTCTAAATGTGATAGCAGGTTAGTTTAGCAGTGTTGCTCGCCCTCTCGTGTGTCAGCTGGGATGTTGACCCTCCACTTTCCGTCAGGTGGATGGGTCCGCGCTGACCGGTGAGTCGGTGGACGTACTGGTCACGGCGTCCGACGGCCGTCAGTTCCGGCTGGTGACGCCGGCCGGGTCGGACCCCGTCCAGCTGGCCACCGAGTACATCGCCGGACTCGAGTCGGCGCTGGACTGAGGTGGACTGCAAACGGTCACTACAGGAGGCGGAGGGGGAGGCGAGGATCCCGTCCAGCTGGCCACCGAGTACATCGCCGGACTCGAGTCGGGGCTCGACTGAGGTGGATCCCAAGCTGTCACTAAAGGAGGGGGTGACACCAGATGATCATTTACGGGAGAGGTGTCAGAGAAGCGGTGATCTGTTTTCGAATGGTGGCTGACGACGTTTATATATCGAATGATCTCGAATTAATTGGACTTCTTGAGCCGTGCGTGGTTTGATGCTTACGCAGCGGTCGTAGTCTATCGCTCGTATTAACTGCGATTTGTGCTTTCATTGTGTTTTTGTCGTTATTGCTGGTGCTGTCCGTTTATGCGAGGATATCGATGAATATATATTTTGTTTTGTAATTGTGATTCTGTTGCGCTTCCTGAAACTGGGCCATTTAGTGGAAGAGACAGCTTGGTTGTTTTGTGATCCTGTCAGGAGGCTGTCGTTTTGGAACGTGAATCGTTTTCCCAGCCGGCACTATGACAAAATGTGTCGCCTTGTGCCGTTATGACCACTGGCCGAGTCTTCCGGGGACCAAGTGTCGGAAAGGGGCGGCGGTCAGAATGTGTCAACGTGCAGTCATATTGCCCGTATTCAGCAGGTAGGTATGAACTGCGGCCAACAGTCGAATACTTACGATGAAAGTCTCAGTGTTTCGGAGGACAGGGCGGTTTGCTATCATCCGGTACCAGGCCTCGATGTTTTTCGGGCATTTCTTTAGGACAAGGATGAGTCGGTCTGGCAATCCCCAGTGATTCATGACCCGGCCGAATGTTCCGGACCATTCGGGGATCAAGGTCACTGCCCTTTGCAATCAGCCGTGAAAGCATCAACTGAACATTGCACGGAGGAAATAAAAAGGATCGTGTCCTAAATTCTGCTAGGCTTCCCAGGGGGAGAGAGCATTGCATTGATTGCAACAAATGACGATGACCTGTGCCCGTTGCCATGGTATCCGTCAATCGCCGGAACGGGACCGGAACCGCTAGCGTCCAGTGCGCATGCGCAGAAATCAAGCGGGCCGGTCGCCGGCCGCCACACGCCGCGAGACGTCACGAGCGGAGGGCCGGGAGCGTGAGAGGAGCGATTGGTGTTTGATCTTGCCGGCATTTCCCACGTGGAATCGTCGGTAGTTGTGATTTTCAAGAGCTTAGTGTGAAGTGTTTCAAATCAACAGGTCGCATGATGGCGTCAGACACTGAAGACAAAGTTGTCGCCGGTAAGTTTCCGAGGTCGTCCGGGTGCCGAATGAAATTTATGAATTAGCGTGTTTGTTATTGTTTTGATAACTAATTTATGTGTAATTATGACAATGGCTCGTCTTTGCTGTGTTCATTGTTGATTTTGGGGTCCATTTTGAGCTGTTCAATGAATTATATGTACTGCGTATTGATCTAGAATACGCCCGGGGTCGTGTCACAAGCCAATTTCCACGCGCCGGGGTCGTCGCTTCAGCTCTGCCCGGCGCTGTGGTGACGTCATCACCCTTACAGCCGGCCGGCGCGCGCGAAGTGAAGTGGGGAGGGGCACTGGGCCGGGGAGGGAGACAAAGAGGAAAACTGTGAAATGGAGAATATTCTCTATTTTCTACTTAAATGACATGAATTTGCTGGATGCACTGATGCTTACAGGCTGCACTCAGTCTTCACTGACCTGGTGAATTCTCCCTGCAATCTGATCAACCAAAACCTCCATCCAGGCCCTGATGATGGGAGTTACATAGCCTTTTGGTTATCAGATAAACAGCATTCCTGCACCAAACTCAGTGAAAAACACTGACTTATGTGCCTATATGCAGTGCCCCTAAACCATACAATGAACTAAGCCATAAGTGCAGTTCCCCCTCCCCATAGGCCACGCACAATTACTATTTGTGACAAATTAAACCAAATTACATCAAGACAATTGCAAACTCAAAAATAATGCAGTGCAAAAAATATTGTCCCTTTCCAGCTAGTGTTGAATGGATAACTTTGTTTTCACAAAGTGCATGTTATACTACTCATATTAGCAAGGTGGTGTTTTTAGAAAAAAAAGGAATCAGAGTTGCAGATGTCAGTTTGCCGACTAGAAGTTGTATTGTACTGTCTGTAGGCTGTTTGACTGTTGATTTACAGTGATGCTAGGCTGTTCATTTGCTGTTAAACCTGTCCAAATACAGTGACTGCCAGGCTGTTCATTCAATGCTACATCTGTCTTATCTGTTGATTGCTGGCTTGTTCCTCTGTGTCAACACCCTGCAGGCATGTCATTCATTTATTTGGAATATTCCATTCATTAATATTTGTCATTTCATTCACCTACCTGCAGCTGTTTAATCCCATTGATCTATGGCTGTGATCCTGAAGGCCTGCAGCAGTGCTATCCTGCTGACCTGTGGGCTGGTAACTGTTATCCTGCAGCTGCTACCCTGTTGGCTTGCAACTATAAATGACTCCCAGCTGCTAGCAGTTCAACCTGAATCTGTTATCCTGCAGCTGCAATCCTGTTGACCTACAGTTGTTATTGTGCAGCTGCTATCCTGTTGACCTGAAGCTGTTGGCTTGCAGCTGTTATCCTGTAGACCTGAAGCTGTTATCATTCACCTGATATGTTATAGTCATGCACTGCTGGAGTATTGTTGGCCTGCATCTGTTGCTCTGTAATCCTGTAGCAGTTATCCTGCTGCAGTTATCCTGTTAACATGCAGCTGCTATCTTGCTGTCCTCAGTGGGCTGCACCTGTCCATACAGCAGCACACACCACTATTTCAGTGTTATGATTATCAGCTGATGGTGTGTTCCTTTCAGATGGAGAGACTCCTGAGGAGGAGGAGGACGAGGAGGAGAGGGCCGCTGACTCTGAGACACACCAGGTTAGATGGACATTCCAGGTAGTGGCTGAGACACTGCAGGGGGTGAGGTCTGAATGAGACCATTCAGGAAGGGCAGGCTGGCTTCCACTGCTATGGTGTGGTCTGGTGGAACTGGAAAGGCATGATCAGTTATTTCTGACAATATTATTGTTTCCCTGTGGTATAGGAGGAGGATGAAGATAACTATGAGCCTGCTAGTAAGAAGCGAAAGAAGGGCAAGAAAAGGAAGGCCAGAGATGATAAGAAAAGCAAAAAGAAGAAGAAGAGGAGGAAGGCAGACAGTGAGGTATGTAAAAAGCTCTGGTGTCAAATGTTTTCTGTCCACATCATTGTCCATTTTGTGTAATTTTGCCACAGGAGATTCTTGTGGCTAGTAGTGTCACTGGACAGCTGCATTGTAAATGCAGCTGGATGTTTAAATGCAGTATATCGCTGTTGATTGTGCTGGCTTGTTTTGCCTGTTCCCTCATTATCACCTTCTAATCTTCCCCAGGAGAGTGAGGACGAGGACAATGACTCGGAGGCGGCCGAGACGCCCCGGCCGCGCAAGGCCCGCGGTCCGACGGCCTCTGCCAAACCGCCGCGCGAGCAGGCGGCCGAGCCGAGCGGCATGCCCACGTCGGAGGAGGTGGGTCGACCTCCTCCTCCCTTGCTTTCCCCCGGACCGCCGGTCAGGAACGGGGTGTAGACGGAAGTCGTGATCGATATTCGGGTTGGAATACTAATTCGAGCTCGTCTTCGAGTGTTCGTTATGTTTCCAGAGATAACGTTTGTCTGGGTGACGTCTATGTCGGTCTTAATCGTCTGGCTAGCCCTCGTAGTATCTCCCCACCGATGCCTGTTAGACAGAACAGGAAATAGTTGTAGCCGTAGTTTTAGGGATGCGTCTGTGTCTCCACCGATCTCCCACCCGTGCGTCTAACACCCACCCCTCTGTTCCGCAGGTGTGTGAGACGTTCGGCCTGGTGAACGTGGAGCTGGAGTACTCTGACGAGGACTACCAGACGCTCACCACGTACAAGGCCTACCAGCAGCACGTGCGGCCCCTCATCGCCAAGGAGAACCCCAGGGTCAGTCAGGACGACGGTCTCCTGGCGTGTGCAGAAATGTGTGTTCATATTTGCTGGAGTTAGCTGAATGAATGAATTGGTGAATGGTGTGAATGAGTGATGCAGTTCGCAAAGTATGTTTTTGTCACCGATGTCTAGCTATGCATTGACTAGGTAGTATCTGTCAGCTACCGTTATCGCTAGCTATCTACCTGTCTTCCCGAACCTGTCAAGTCGAGCGTGCTATCAGATGGAAGGTTTATCCGCGTCTCCCCGCTGACCGCTTCTGCCCCCCCCCCCCGCTGACCGCCGTTGCCTTCCTCTCAGGTGCTGACTTCTGACCTCCCTGTCCTCGTCTGACTGCCGCTCCCTCTCCGCCAGGTGCCGATGTCGAAGCTAATGATGCTGGTAGCGGCCCGTGCTCCCTATCCTCGTCTGACGGCCGCTCCCTCTCCGCCAGGTGCCGATGTCGAAGCTGATGATGCTGGTGGCGGCCCGTGCTCCCTATCCTCCTGTGACGGCCGCTCCCTCCCCGCCAGGTGCCGATGTCGAAGCTAATGATGCTGGTGGCGGCCCGTGCTCCCTATCCTCCTCTGACGGCCGCTGTCTCCCCGCCAGGTGCCGATGTCGAAGCTAATGATGCTGGTGGCGGCCAAGTGGCGCGAGTTCACTGCCTCGCAGCCGGCCGAGGAGGCCGCCTCTCCTGCCGGATCGCCGCGCGAGCCCGACCAGGAGCAGGAGTCGGACGCCGCCGAGGAGCCCGAGGAGCCCGAGGACGAGCCGGAGCCGGAGGTGCGCGCCTCGGCCCGCTCCAGCCGCGCCTCCAAGAAAAAACCCGAGCCGGTGAGTGCGAGCGTCGCTCGGTGGGAGATTGGGGAGGGGAGAGGGGTTCGGCGCTAGCTAAATACCAGAACGTTGGGGCATGTACTTATGTGCTGGGTGCAGATCGTCCGAAACCCGTAGAAACTATTAAGACTCTGGCTTATTTCCGTTGAAGCCTTAGTACAAGACTGACGAATATTGCTTGCTTGCGGGTGGCCTAGCTCCCTGTCTGCCTTGACATGATCCGTGGCCACTGACCCCTAACCCGATGTGCCCACCCCAGGCTGACGATGACGAGTACGAGTTCGAGGATGACGAGGAGTCGTCCAAGAAGAAGCGCTCGCGACGCTCCAAGGCCGGCGGATCGTCCAAGAAGGGACGCGTGCCCACGCTCAAAATCAAACTGGGCAAACGCAAGAAGGGCTCGTCGGTAAGCGCAATAGCTCACAGCGATTTATGGCACTCTTTTCGGGGTATATCCAACTGGATGATTTTAGGAAGAATTGTATCTAGGGCATCATAGCTTATGCCTTATTTCACCAGTATAGCGCCTTATGGGGCGACTAACGGAGCGAGCGAGAGGGTGGGCCTTGCACGTGCGAAATTGCGAGGGGGTACCTCCAACTGACTTGTG